CTCCCCCGCAGCCCCGCCGTACATCTCGGACGCAAAGAGCACCGGGGTGCCGGTGGGGCAGAAGGGCATCCTGCTGTGCGAAGCCTCCGCCGTCCCCTCCGCCGACTTCCAGTGGTACAAAGATGACAAGCGGTAAGAACCCGGGGGACAAAACGGGAGGGCACAGGCTGTCCCCGTGCCAGCAGCTTTGGCAACGGGATGCGGTAGCCGGTCGAATCCCCGATAACCCTTGTTACAAGGTGGCTTCGGACGGTGAGGCAGGGCCCCCTGGGCCAGCAGCAGGTTGTGCTCGGCGGGGGTTAATTTGAGCATCTCGGCAGGAGCTGCCATCACTTGGTCTATTAAAAGCAGACGAAGGCTTTAGAGTTAACTCAGCGCTGTCTGTGCAGTGGAAAATAGATGAGGAGCCTTTGAGAAGGGGGATTTTTGCAGGAGCCTCGTTCAGCCAGATGAGTTTTGGTCTCTATCTGGGTTGGCAGCACAGGTAGGTCGGTGCTGCCTGTGCCTCTCTGGTTTATAGTCTCACTGTAAATCCCCACTTGGGTGAAGCATAACGGCCGGGAGCAATATTGGCAGCACAAATCCCAGCATTTAGGAGCGGGTGAAACCCTGTCATCTTTTAAAACACTTTGGTTAGAAGGCAACATCAGCCCTTAGCTCTTGGAATGGCAGAAGAAATGTGGTTTCAGTTAAGAAATAGAGTTTGCTGCAGTGAAAGTTGCCCATTGAGGTCAACCGGCAGCTCCGGCATCCTGCCAAAGCGGCGGCACAGGGAGCGAGGAGGGGAGCAGCCCGGCCAGGGGTAGGGTCCCACTCTGGAGCTGGAGTCTCTCTCAGACCCCAGACAAAGCTTTTTTTTTACCCATTTTTGCACTGCTTCTCCCTGAGAAGCCCAGAGGGGCCGTGGTGCATCCAAACACAGGAGAAGCCACGCAGGTTACTAATAAGGAGACAAGTTTTAGCTCAAAAAGCTGCGACAGTGGCTGCAGGGGAGGCCGGGGCCGCCCGCCTAGGCTGTTTTGGGAGGAGAGGAGCAGGCAGAGCGTACGAAGCGGCGGATGTTTGCGTGGCAGATGAAAGGCTTCGCCCAGAAGTAGGTCAGATCACGAGGGCCCGCGATGCAGCAGCGGCGGGAGCAGGCTCAGCCCGCCCGGATCGGCAGCAGGAGCCCCGCAGGGGAGATAATGGGGATCCGGCACCTCCCGGGAGGAATTAGCAAGTCGAAGAGCCGCAGGAGCGGAGCGGGAGGGGGACACCAGTCCAGGGAAGTTGAAGCACTCGGTTGAGGCTTTAGTGTTTGTGTCAGCTGAGAAGCACCTCCCTGCTACTGTTTGGGTCCCCCAAAGGGGCTCACAGCAGCATTCAGCTGCCCAAGAGCGATGCCCACCCCACCAGCGACACACGGGGAGCTGATAGGGGTTGGGGAAGGGGCAGGTGTGAGATGGCATCCAGCAGAGCCAGGGAGACCAAGGAGCCCTCGAGGCTGAGGCAAGAGGAAAGCCAGGCTCTTGTGCTGGTTGGGAAGGAGTATTTTCCAGGTTCCCTCCTTGGGCATGTGAGCATCACCCCCTCTGCATAGCATTTGACAATCCCCAAGGCCATCCCCTTCGACAGTGAGTCTGCATCCGTGAGGATGCCTCCAGACAGCATGGGGATGGTTCAGGCTGGCAGCTAAGGGATGAGACTCAGTGGAGTGCTGTCCATCTCCCATATCTTCCTTTCTCCCTCTTGACACCTGATCTTTCCCCCAAGCTCGATGTTTCCACTCTCTCAGGCAGGACAAGAGCATAGCAGGTCATGGAAAATAGCGTGTACTTCTCCTCCCCACATCCTCCCCATGACACTGTCCTCTTCTGCCTTTCTCCCAGGCTGGCTGAAGGACAGAAAGGATTGAAAGTGGAGAACAAAGCCTTCTTCTCCAGACTGACTTTCTTCAACGTCTCCGAGCAGGACTACGGCAACTACACTTGCGTAGCCTCCAACCAGCTAGGAAACACCAACGCCAGCATGATCCTCTACGGTGAGTAGAGCTGAGGGGGCACAACGGCGAGAGCGCTCTCGAGCGAGACACGGGAAACGTTTCTTTTGCATTTTGGGGAAGAGGTTTAATTTGTTGCTGATCCTTTTTGCCTCGGTACATGGGTCGGAGGTCGTGGCGAGCCCAGGGAAAGCAGAAAGTCTCTAAACCAACCTCCTGATTTGAGCGCCACGTCTGCTGCTGGTCAGAGGTGTTCAGCACCGTGGTGAGGGTCTCCCAGTGATGCAAAGTTAGGACTTGGCTGCAGGTTTTTGTCTTTTCGCTCTAATAAATAGCTAGGAGAGCTTTGGAAAACATGCTCCTGTGTCAATCAGGGGGAGGAGAGGTGGCAGTCGGAGTCGTTGTGGCAAAAGTATTTTGGGGTGGGAGCAAGGGTGTCCCAGGAAATCCAGCGTCTTTGCTGCCGTCCTGCCAATGCCCATCTTGCGACTTCCGTCCATCGGTGTGTACATGTGTGGGAAGATTTTAAAGTCTAGCCTGAGTGGGCGCAGTGCCCAGCTCAGCAGGGGCTTCTGAGGAGTTTGTCACCCTTTTGCAACGGCCGTACAGTGTGACGTGTCACTCCCACCCCTCCGGAGCCGTGCATGGGGGTTTTTTTTGTTTGCTTTGGGGGTTTTGGGTTTTTGTTTGTTTGTTTGTTTGTTTTGACCCTGGATAGGTTTTTCTCTCTGGAAGGAGGACAATGTATTGGCAAGTAGGTGCCATTGTCATGGGCATCTCCCATGCCGTTGTTGGCAAAGTCGGATATAATCCATTGTTGTGTAATTTTTCTCTGCCGTTGTTTTCTCCCTGAGCGCAGCGGCTCAAGCAACGTGAGCCGAGCGACTCGCAGGGCTCCGTGCTGCAAAGCATTGTATCCCTGGCTGTTCTGTCTTGCTTTTTTCTTTACCTCTTGTTATTGTATGTCTGGAGGGGAGCGGAGAGGAAAACAAGCCTTCCTCATGCCAGGTCCCTCAACGGGATGACTCAGGGTTAGGAGGCCGAGCGCTTAGCGGTGCGGAGCGCCCGGGGATAGCGGCCAGTCCCAAAGTTCGTGTCAGGGTGTGTAGAACGTCATTGCAGTGCGGTGAGAGAGGTGCGTTGAGACCCTGAGAAGCGATGTCTGCTTCTCATTGTCCTTTGAGGAGGGATTGGATGTGGTTCAGGGTAGCCTCTGGTCAGGAAAGTGTTTTTTCTGGGCAGAGCAGAGGATACTTTCTCAATTTTACTCAGTTCTTTACTATGAGGGTGGTGAGACACTGGCCCAGTTTGCCCAGAGAAGCTGTGGCTGCTCCTCCCTAGCAGTGTTGAAGGCCAGGTTGGATGAGGCTTTGAGCAACCTGGTCTAGGGGAAGGTGTCCCTGCTGATGGCAGGGGGGTTGGAACTGGATGAGCTTTAAGGACCCTTCCAACCCAAACCATTCTATGATTCTATACTGGGCTTTCCTGGCAAGCATGCTCCACAGCCGCTGGCAGGAGGGGGTCATCCTCACCTGCCCTCCCCTGCCGCCGGTATCGGCAGCTGGGTCGGGTTCTCCTGAGCTGTGGCAGTGTTTGTCCCATCTCGGATGCTCGGCTCTGTGCCCACTGCCCCCATGTAGAGTTAACCTTGGATGTTAATGAGCCTGCCAACCATTTTTTTCCCAATAAAAGTTCATGCTGTAAGTGATGAACATAAGTGTCTTTACCTGCCCGTTAAGATCATTAGCGTTGCCTAGGAACTATCTAGTTTCTTTACCCCTTGGGCTTCCTGGTAATGAGTGTCCCCAAAAAGCCCATTTTTCAGGGAGAAGACACCTCCAGCATCACAGAGCCAGGTCCGGGTCCATCCTCGGCACAGCTGTGCCAAGCACCCGGCGTAGCCTGGGCTACGTGCACATCCTTAGCCTCGATGCTGTCAGCTCCCTATGGGTTTGTGGGGTTGAAAGGCGAAGCGGCGTAGGGTCTCAGCGTGGCATCGGCAGATGCAGGCTGGATGAAAAGCCCCCCAGGTTAAAGACAACTTTTCCCTGCCAATGGCTTTGCAAGCCGTCAGGTATTTGGTTTCTAACCCACGAGTGATGTTTTTTTAGGACTGGTGCCATCATAGCAGCGTCACACAGGATGCAGTGAAGCA